AGGCCCTAACAGCCTCGAGGCACTGGCACATCACGTCAACCGCTTCACTGAGTTGGCACGAGGCGGACAGATACAACTGTGTTCTTGCCTTCCTTTATCAGATGGGTGGTTTCTTTTTTACTAGAACAATTCACATTTCTGTTTAACAGTTTCCTTCTTTATATTTGTCAAACCACTGAGAAAATGTTCAAGATCTTCTTGTTCTACAGCATTTCTAGCCTGTTTTCATCCTACAATCTTCAATAGCACAGCTACAATGTGCAGTCCACATTTTACCCTCTACTATTGCTGATATTGCCTTCTACCCATCTACTATCCTGTTCCCATAGTAACAATAAATGTGTATATTCCAGCTATTTTTGGTACTTCTAGAGTACACATTTGTTACCCTTTTAGTTCATAGCTATGATATATTTTTTAGTTCATAACCAATTATACCTTATATATACTCCTGTAATGCATTTTTAATATTGACAGAAAAGACCATCTTCAAGCAAGATCACAGTTTTTAACCATCCTCACTACTAATCTTCCAAACACTGGGAAAAAAGTAAACTGGGCTGTGACTTATCAAAATGATGGATTGCCAGCTGCTATTGATTAACTTTGATAGCTGCTTGCATAGTTATTTGTTTAACAGAGTTCGGATGTAAGCTTAAGGTGTTACTATAGAAGTTGAAGCAATAAATCCATTATATTACAAACAGCAAATTTGAAATGTTCATTAGAACACCAGTTAAAGAAAACAGAGAGGAATTGGTAGGTGTACATACATTTCTACATAGCTCATTTCAAGAATCATTTAAGGTTACCAACTTGTCTTTTTTTTAATATTGATGGCCTATAAGAAAGACAGAATTATTTATGCAAAGGACAATATAGCACAGAAGACCAAAAACCAGTCTCTCCCACCCTGGTGCCTTTTAGTGGGCTTCCATCCCCAAAGCCAGCCAATTCAAACAAAAATCAGTTTAGAAAAGCCTCCTTTTTCCTTTCCAGGGCATATTTGAAGGAGAGGAAAAAAACAGCAGCAGCAGCAGGCACGCTCTTTGCTAATTTCTACCGAAAAATAAAGGCGAAGGAAAAATGAGGAATGGTTCCTGGGCCTGTTTCCACTCTCCCCCCAATCACAATTACAACCAGAATAAAAACCCTTTCAAGTCCTGGCAAATAGATGGGGAAGAAATGGGGGCAGTGACAGATTTTACTTTCCTGGGCTCCGAGATCACAGCAGATGGAGACTGCAGCCAAGGAATTAAAAGATGCTGGCTCCTGGGGAGGAAAGCTATGGCAAACATAGACAGCATACCAAAAATCAGAACTTGAACTGCAAGACGACCAAACTGGTCAGTCCTAGAGGAGATCAACCTTGACTGCTCTTTAGGCGGCCAGATTCTGAAGATGAAACTCAAATATTTTGGCCAGCTAATGAGAAGGAAGGACTCACTGGAAAAGACCCTAATGCTGGGTAGGATTGAGGGCAAAAGAAGAAGGGGACGGCAGAGAATGAGGTGGTTGTATGGAGTCACTGGTTGTATCGGCGTGAGCTTAAATGGACTCTAGAGGATAATAAAGGGCAGGAAGGCCTGGAGGAAGGTTGTCCATGGGGTCGCGATGGGTCGGACAGGACTTCGCAACTAACAACAAAAAACCCTCTCCGACCTCTCCCTGCCCTAGAAACACCCTGAGGGCGCCACCGCCCCTCAGCGTTCTTCACCCCTTCAATCCTACCTACCGCTGTATTTGCCCCTCGCCGCCTCCTCCTCCTCCTTCCCCCGGCTCCGCCGACGGACGATTGGCATCGCCTCAGCCAGGAGAGTCCGAGCCACGTCCCCATCGCCAAACCCTCTCCCCGCCCTTCCTCCTGCTCTCAGGTGTCCAATGGTGCTGCCTCAGCCCTGCCCCATCGGATCGGACGGCGGTTGAACGGCGCCGCTCCTTACAGCCGAGCCCGCGCCAGGCTTCGGCCTTCGCTCCCCCCCCCCCCCCCCCCCCCCCCCGGGGGGCGGGGGGGGGGGGGGGGGGGGGGGGGGGGGGGGGGGGGGGGGGGGGGGGGG